CATATAAAATTATGAATGTAAGAATAGAGGCGCACTGCAGTAGGATTACTGGTTTATACACAAATGCCCTGCACATTGAAGACCGAAACTTATGAAAACGTTTCGGTCCAGCTTGGACCATTAACCTGTCACACGGAAGCGGGTTATTTGTGCGTTGTTCCAGTCATGGTATTGACTAGTTTATGCTAGACATGACCTCTTCAGACAAGCGATATGGCTTAATGATACTGGTTTTATATTAACATTGTTTTTTTTATCATATAATTTCGTATTATTGTGAAATTATCAAGATATAAATAATGCTTGAGCTGAGAGTTAGAAACTTGAGAACTGAAGTTTGTAAGTGCATACATGAGCGTGCTTATTGTCTTTAACTAACGTACCTTCGTCTTTGGTTGCAGGTTAAGATCTGGTTCCAGAACCGCAGGTCCAAGTACAAGAAGTTGTACAAGGCGGCCCAGAACGGCCAGCTGCCAGGAGTAGACGCGGCAGAGATTGCTGCAGACCTCGGAGCTAACTTGTCACAGATGGTTTCTAATGGTCCAGAGTCTCCCAGTTCCCCTGCTACCACGGACCACGGCCACGACCAGCCACCTCCGTCAGTAGGCCCTGACGGCGGCCCCACTTTCTCCCCCACCCGACGACCGCCCACAGTCGCAGCCTCCCACGGTATCCAGCCACGGTGAGATGACATCCCCAATGATGACGGCTCCGCGAGACATGATGGTGTCCCCACCGGCTCACCTCGCCAAGGAAATGATGGCCATGAACCCGGCTATGGCCGCATGCGAGCAGCGCCGAGATCAAGCCATGATGCCCCCGCACCACCAGTGGGACCCTGCCCACTATATGTCCTACTGGAACCACTACGGAGACATGGCCGCCCACCAGATGAACCATCAGATAATGACCTAAGCTCCATGCAGAGCTCCCACCAGCGCCACCTCCACGACCTTCTAAGAGGTCACATTACCCTTCCCTTGGCTTCTCAAGGCTATCCCGTGAGCATCCAGCATTGAAGCAAAGGACAGATTCGTAACAACAGTGGCGACTTCTCACTATGAAAAGCTAGCAGATCTGTCTGTTGTTCCCAGAGGGAGCGGCGCCTTTCCTTGCACACTTATAATCGTCGGCGACCCCCACATGTAGAGGCCTATTGTGTAGGCCCCTCACGCTGTGCTCCCCTCCCCAGTAACTCTCACGTCAGCGACCTCAACCCCAACTCTTCGAGTTCACTGGTCATTCCTAGCATTCCAATCCAAGGTGACGTGTCAATGCATACGTTTGCACCACAATGTGAAGTGACACTGTATCAGCGCAGGTCTCTGCAACGCACCTTCCTGATGTACCCTGCGCTCCAGATGACCTCACGCGATGATTAGGTTGATTCCTCGTGATCAGTGAATGCCAGGTGATGCAGCAGACCCACATGATTGTCCGTAAACTCTGCGAATTTAAGATAGTTTCAAGCGGTGAAAATGATCCCATTTAATATAGGTGACGACTCCAGGCGATGCAGCTGGCCCTAGGAGAGTATAGCTGGTACCTGGTGAATATAGCTGGCGCCTGGTGAATATAGCTGGCACCTGGTGAAAACAGGCGACACTTTGTAAAGACAGTTGGCTCCAGATAAACACCAGACTCCAGGTGAACACCTGACCTCAAGTGACACTCACCTGATCCAGGTGATGCAGCAAAGCCTCCACGTTCCCTTGGTGTTCAGACATAGAATATGAATTGCCTCCTGTATTATGATGTATGGTTAGCGTGTATGAATATGTATGAATTTATTACTCTTGGCCCACATAATAAATGCATGTTGTATTATTGTCTGTGTGCAATAAACGCTGGACCAGTTATCAGTGCTCGTGTAATCCTGTGGTTCTTAGAGCGGTTAGTATTGTTCTTTAAGGCGGACTGTTCAAACCAGTTTAAAGTCATCTGTATCATGGTGCACCTGTGACACTGGAGACATTATTTTAACTTTCGTTCTCTTAAGTAAATTTAAAATAATGAGAAAAAAGGAGGCGAGGGGGAGGGGAGAATGTGTCTTTTTTTCGTCTCTCATTTTCTCGTAATTCAATTTTTTTTTTCACGACCTTCTGCTTTCGAGTTTTACCTTGGATTCTTCTTTGCCCTGGTTGTTTTTCTTGGTTCCGCTTTATCCTACGATTTGCTCTCCGTCTCTATCATTTCTTTCCCTCCACTGCTTCCCTTCTCAACCCATCTCCAGTCGGACGAATATTTATTAAATTTTCAGTATTTTGCACATTTATTAAAAATTCAGGTTTTAAAAATCGTAAATTTTAATGATTATCCAATGGATTATCGTGTTCCCATTACAAGACAGAATGCTCACTTGTTCTCCTTCAGAGAACATGGTCCATTTATATATATTTTTACTTTCTATTTATTTTTTTGTCTATCTAACAGCAAAGGATGTTTTAATCTCTGTATATATTGTAAGATATGTCTGTGTAAATATATTCTGTATAACTAATTGTATTTTTCTTTCTTGCATTACCCCAAATGAATCCAAAATAACATTCTCTTAATATAAAGTGTGTTACGAGTAGATCAGACACTGGAGGAAGACAAACACTACACCACACACACACACACACACACACACATACACACAACTATATATATATATATATATATATATATATATATATATATATATATATATATATATATATATAATATATATATATATATATATATATATATACATATTCTTTCTTTCAACACGCCGGCCGTATCCTACCGAGGCAGGGTGGCCCAAAAGGAAAAACGAAAGTTTCTCCTTTTACATTTAGTAATATATACAGGAGAAGAGGTTACTAGCCCCTTGCTCCCGGCATTTTAGTCGCTTCTTACAACACGCATGGCTTACGGAGGAAGAATTCTGTTCCACTTCCCCATGGAGATAAAGAGGAAATAAACAAGAATAAGAACTAGAAAGAAAATAGAAGAAAACCCAGAGGGGTGTGTATATATGTGCTTGTACATGTGACCTAAGTGTAAGTAGAAGTAGCAAGACATACCTGAAATCTTGCATGTTCACGAGACAGAAAAAAGGACACCAGCAATCCTACCATCATGTAAAACAATTACAGGTTTTCGTTTTACACTCACTTGGCAGGACGGTAGTACCTCCCTGGGAGGTTGCTGTCTACCAACCTACTACCTATGATTTATATATATATATATTATATATATATATATATATATATATATATATATATATATATATATATATATATATATATATATATATATATATATATATATAATCAATCATACATTTTTTTTTCAACAAGTCGGCCGTCTCCCACCGAGGCAGGGTGACCCAAAAAAGAAAGAAAATCCCCAAAAAGAAAATACTTTCATCATCATTCAACACTTTCACCACACTCGCACATTATCACTGTTTTTGCAGAGTGCTCATAATACACAGTTTAGAAGCATACACATATAAAGATACACAACATAATATATATATATATATATATATATATATATATATATATATATATATATATATATATATATATATATATATATATATATATATATATAATGATTATATATATATAAAATCACAGTCATCAGAACAAAAGAATGGAGCAGCACTGCAATAGTCTTGCTGGCCCATAATAGGAACGTCAAACTCACAACTGAACTGTTTTGAAAATTACTTAAGGTGCTCGCTTTAATGATGCTACATGGGAGTTTGTACTACTCATTTACACCTCTACTGCCATACCAGAGAGTGCACAAATTCGTTTTATATATTTTTCAGGGCATTTTATATCCATTCTGTAATGTGGAGATCAGAACTGAACAGCATGCTCTAAATGAGGCCTTACCGATGATATACATAAAGTTGAAGTATAACCTTAGGATTTCTATTATTTATACTTATTCCTATGCAGCCACGAATTCTATTAGTTTTATTGTAGTGTTTCTGTGTACAACATTTGCAATACGAGTATCATTCTTGCTGCTGGCGCATTTGTGTCTTGTCCACAAAAAAATATGAACTCAAATACGCCTGTAGTAGGGATGCCGCTTTTAAGATGAGTGTCGTACACAGAGAAACACTGAGAAATCTTATGCGTTAGAAAAATGCTCAATTGTTGTACAGGGAAGCGGATTCAGGAGACACCACTGTTTGGAAGCGCCACTCACTGCCACCTCTAATACCATCGTTCAAAAAAACTGGCGCTTATAACATTCCCACAACCTTAGCCTGATGAATGAGACACTTGTGCAACATTTGGGTATTTTTTATTGTGGAAACGTTTCGCCAGCCAGTGGCTTCATCAGTTCAATGAAGAGAAGAATGGTGGAAGATGTGAAGGAGATTTAATCAATCCCTCAGCCTGATGTTAGAACATGCTTCCCCGAGATGATACAACCATAGATAAACCCTTCTCAGTTTATCGTGTCCTGCACCTAACGCTACTATTACTACGTTCTATCTGGCCCCTATATTTCCTATAGTCTCTCATAATCCTAATGTATTTAAGAATATAAGAAAGGAGGAGCACTGCGGTGGAACTACTGGCAGTGCTAGGCAAGTTCAACTCGCCCATTCATGTACCTGTACAATCTACTTCGAAAGCTACTCAAAATACTCCATTAACGATATGCAGTTCTGTTTCATTCATCCACAATTCTATTGCCAAACGAGTGCTAGGTTGCAGGAACGAAACTTTTTAGTAAAAACAGTCCAAATGAACATTCATGTTCATTTCCCTCTGGAGAGAAATTTTCTTTCCTGAGAAAATTTGACAATTTGTACGGCACCTCTTATGGATCCTTCTAAGCAGATAAGTTTTGGATATTAAGGAGAAAAAACGAGAAGCAAACACAGCAAATAAAATATTTAATTGCACTCAAAATCACAAGCGTTTGCAAAAAAGCAATCAAAAATACAAAAGTTGTGGGTTGATTATAGGTTGATTAGGCTGTGAAACACACACACACACACACACACACACACACACACACACATGGAGATGTTAGGAAGTATTTAACCAGCCTTAGAGTTGTCAGGAAATGGAACAATCTGGAGAGTGAAATAGTGGAGGGAGGATCCATACATAGTTCTAAGGAGAGGTATGGTAAGGTTCTTGGAGCAGGAAGAAAGTGGACTTAGTAGCGACTAGTGAAGAGGCAGACCCCAGATGTGACTCGACCCCTGCAACCATAAATAGGTGAGTACCTACACACACACACACACACACACACACACACACACACACACACACACAGTGGGCGCCTGTGACGAGCGGGGTCCCACAGGGGTCAGTTCTAGGACCAGTGCTATTTTTGATATATGCGAACGACATGATGGAAGGAATAGACTCTGAAGTGTTCCTATTCGCAGATGATGTGAAGCTGATGAGAAGAATTAAATCGGATGAGGCAGGACTGCAAAGAGACCTGGACAGGCTGGACATGTGGTCCAGAAACTGGCTTCTCGAATTCAACCCTGCCAAATGCAAAGTCATGAAGATTGGGGAGGGGCAAAGAAGACCGCAGACAGAGTATAGGCTAGGTGGACAAAGACTACAGACCTCACTCAGGAAGAAAGACCTTGGGGTGACCATAACACCGAGCACGTCACCGGAGGCACACATCAACCAAATAACTGCTGCAGCATACGGGCGCCTGGTAAACCTGAGAATAGCGTTCCGATAACTTAATAAGGAATCGTTCAAGACACTGTACACTGTGTATGTTAGGCCCATACTGGAGTATGCAGCACCAGTCTGGAACCCATACCTGGTCAAGCACGTCAAGAAGTTAGAGAAAGTACAAAGGTTTGCAACAAGGCTAGTCCCAGAGCTCAGGGGAATGTCGTACGAGGAAAGGTTGAGGGAAATCGGACTGACGACACTGGAGGACAGAAGGGTCAGGGGAGACATGATAACGACATACAAGATACTGCGGGGAATAGACAAGGTGGACAGAGATAGGATGTTCCAGAGAGGGGACACAGGAACAAGGGGTCACAACTGGAAGCTGAAGACTCAGACGAGTCACAGGGACGTTAGGAAGTATTTCTTCAGTCATAGAGTCGTCAGGAAGTGGAATAGCCTAGCAAGTGAAGTGGTGGAGGCAGGAACCATACATAGTTTTAAGAAGAGGTATGACAAAGCTCAGGAAGCAGAGAGGGAGAGGACCTAGTAGCGATCAGTGAAGAGGCGGGGCCAGGAGCTGAGTCTCTACCCCTGCAACCACAATTAGGCGAATACAATTAGGTGAGTACACACACAAAACTTTGCGAGCCAATGGACAAGGTATTTGATCAATGTTTCCAAATAGGACAGCTGCCAGAAAATTGGAAAAGGGCAAATGTATTCACATATGTAAAAAAAAAAAAAAAAAAAAAAAGGTGGGTGAACAGACAAGAGGCATTGAATTACAGGCCAGTATATTTTAAATGCATTTTATCATTCGTTCCGGAGAATACATTAAGGGAAAGGTTACTGGAGTACTACTTGGAGAGATGACTTTACAGTCAACACAGATTTAGGGATGGAAAAATCTTTTCGCAAATTTACTGGAATTCTATGACATGGTCGAAGAAATTAAGCAAGAAATCCATGGACGAATGGATTGCATATTCTTAGGCTGCAAAAAAAGGGACTTAGTACAGTACCACACTGGACATTAGTCAAGAAATTAGAGTAAGAGGCAGTGTCCGAGTGGGGTCAGGGAGTACCTGACTGAAAGAAGGCAGAGAGTAACAGTTGCACGTGTGTCTTACTTACCAACAGTAAGGGATGAGACATTAGAATGGAGGAGCAACGAATTGGTTCCTCATGGATGACTATTAGGTCCACTAATGTTTCTAATATATATGTATAATCAACTTACCAAAGGGGTTTGAGTCCTACCTTTCACTGTTTGCGGATAAGCCAATGAGAAGAATAAGAACTAGAGAGTTGGTGATAAATTCCAGGAATACCTCAAGAAACCACAAGAGTGGTCAGATAATTATCTCGAGTTCAATTCAAGCAAATGCAAGGTCATGCGAATTTGAAAAAAAAAAATGAGGACAGCCCGGACGCAGAGTGCAAGCTACAGATATCAGAGAATGATAAGAACCTGTGGTGATTATAACGCTGAACATATCGACAGTCCAGTAATACATTAACAGTATAAAGCCAGCAGCATATGCAAGATTATCAAATCTCAGAACAGCATTCTGGAACATGAAAAAACAATCTTTCAGAACCTTATGTTTTTAAACACGACATATGTTACGCCAGTCATTGAGTACACAGCATCAGCATGGAGCCCACACCTAGTCAACCATGCGAAGAAAGTCGAAAAGGTTCAAAGATTAGAAACTAGACTAATAGCTGCACTTAAAAAGAGGTAAAAGGCTGTGAAAAGGATAAGGGAAAAACATTTAGAGGAACTGATAGGGCAGACAAGAACACAGTGAACTGAGATGATCAATATCACAGACACAGG